ATACTATATTACCTTTATATTTGCAGAAGTATATTGATGATTGCATAAAGCTATGTATAGTGTACACACACGTGGAATATGTTTGCACAGTGTCATACTGGTGGGGACCTGTATATTGTTGCTGTATAAAATACTGAACATCTAATTCAAAAATGACATCAAATATGTTATGTACTATTGTGGATTCCAAAGGAAAACCTATAATAGCCTGTACGATGGCTATCTCGCATTCAAAGAAATTCAAATATATGTTGTTGCAATACGCGCGCACAATATTACCTGTGTTTTGTTCGCTGACTCTCCGAAACGGATTTTTGAGCTTCAACCTCTTCCCTATTTTATCCATTTTTGAAGATGTAAACCCGATTAAAGTGATCACCAGAGAGTGCTATCTCCACTTAGCCTTACGAGTCCTGTGCTCGGGAGGTGACTACCGCATAATTTTACTGTGGCGCTATGTTATATTGCGTTAGATGCTTTGCAATGCTTCGTACACTTGCACTGCTGCACTCTCTCTGATCCAGAAGTGGCCATGTGCTATAGACATACTTTACTATGGCGCAGCATACATACGAGCTTTGTAATACATAAGCGCGGTATATTCTAATAAACGGACTATAAACGACTCTTCACACTCATATTAAACCAAACTATGAGATGTGAGCACTATACTCCAGTACAATTTATTTTAACAGAAACTACACAGGACGAAGAAACGGAGGGCCCGAAAACTTGGAAAGTTGCCAATCTCCCCAGTTCCCCACCCACTCAAGGCCTCAAGCTTTCAACTCTAAAACCCGACTTCCCGAATCCCGATGAATGTATTTACGTGTAAACGTTTTCAATTTTATATATACCCAAACCTATTTATATTTATATAAAAATCAATATTATTGGCGGTGTTTCTGGTCCTGATTTATTCCATACTCACACTCCGCCTTCAACTCCTCAAGTCTCGAGTCTCGGGCTCTCGCTCTTTTCAAAAACCCTCAGAAGTCCAGAACTATTTTAACCCGAATCCGTTAAATATTGGGGATAGCTCCAGAACCTAAATACTTGCATCTAATATTAAATTTTTGAAGTTTCTGGATAGCCTTTGATTGAATTTATTTATAAATTACATTATTAATATATATTGGACGGCTGTGCTACTGTGGGTTGTTGGATGTTGATATATTTTTTGAAAAATAAATAGTGCCGGTGAGAATTTTGGCAATTGTAAAAAAATGCCAAACACTTTTTAACTCACCCGGCAACTCTGAACGAGATACATGATATTTTTTCATAAAAAATAGAAGGCTATATAGAGGGAGTGAGTATATTTTTTAGCAAGTGAGAGACCATATTTTTAAAAACAAATAGAAAACAACAAATTGAATACTTTTTACACAAATATATTGTACTGTTTTTTTTTTCGAAGGCTATGTTTATACCATTTTTAGGACAATCGAATTTCTAAAAAAAAAATGTGGCTCGGAATCTCGTCACGATCTGGTTACGTCATTAGTGACGTGACGTAACATATAAAAATAGTATATATCGCATTCAGTGGCGTTTTTTTTATAAAAACAAAAACTGCATTTCAGCAAGATAAAGAGTTAAGGACAGCATATCAGGATCAATGGCACGTGTTCATGTTATACTGCTATGATATAGAAAAAACAATCAAACACCACAAGCTGAAGAGCCTCAAGGATACTCCCGGTAACGCAGAAGAGATGGTCAAGGGGAAGAGTAAGAAGCTTAGCAAGCGCTTCAGTCGCACTCCGAAAGGGCCGCGGAGGAAAGGGAACGTGCTGAAACCTGAAGTATCACAGGCGAAAAGGGTGCCAATGCCACCAGACTGGGTGCGCATATCACCGGTATGACTCTGTGGAATGTACACTTCCATGTGTCTATAGTACTGTGTTTCATTCAAATATTACCGAAGCTCACAAACATGTCATCACTGAAGTGCGAGATATCTACTGTATACTTGTACGTGGTGCCAAGTAGTTGCAGTGCAGGTGTATTTACTAGATCTTCAGTGTTCTCTATTTCTATCTGGTCATAAAATTGCACATGGAACACGCACGCGTAAACACGCTCACACACACACACACACACACACACATACACACACACACACACACAATACACACACACACAGACACACACACACACACACACACACATACACACACACGAACATACACACACACACACACACACACACACACACACACACACATATATATATTATATAGATAGTATATATATATATATATATATATATATACTAT